AGCCACCACGCCCGGCCTATAGGCCCTTGGCTCTTTCCAGCTTGTACCCTGGTCATTTTGCCCAGGCTCTTGGCCTCCCCATACACCCCCACAGCCATCCTGCTGGACACCCCTACTGCCTGGGTACCCTCTGTTCATGGCCAGCTGTACCACCCCCCAGCCCTAGACTTTTGCAGTCCTTACCCAGGCCAAGGGCAAGCTCTATCAGCTCCATCTCTGGGTGGCACATGGAATCCTCTTAACCTCACCGGCCATCAGCTGCCAGTCTCATATTGCCCATCCATCCCAACTGTACCAGCGACCTACCTTCCAAAAGTTCCTCTCTATTCGCCCAAACCCCTACTTAGAAACCACAGGGCCTCTTAACAAGGGGTCCAGGAGCCCCTGACTTTTGGGCGCAAGATGTGCCTCTGGTTTTTTCTGAAGAGAGGCCGTATGGCTGTCACACTTTAGCTGCCTAAAAGGACCCATGACCCAGAGATACTTAGGCCCCATTGGCCTGCAGGCAGCCCCCTTGCTTGAGCCTGACTGTTCAGGCCCTGGGTTCTGGACCCTACAGTGTCATGGTGTTGAAGGTCCAGGTTTCAAGTTCCAGTTCAGCCTGCCCTGCTATGTGACATCAGGCTAGGCTATCATCTGTCTGAGCCTGTCTCCCTTACAAATGCGGCATATTCCAGGAGAGTGGGAGGAGGCAAGCAGATGCTGCCTGCCAGCACTTGCCGCAGCACAGGACCTTCCAGGTCACACTGGAAGTGGGGGTGCTTCCTGTTGCCTTTTTGCCCCTCCTACCTGGCCTAGGGGAGGGGAACTAGCTTGCCCCGTAGCTTCAGGGGGCTGAGGTGGGCTCTAGGAGGTGGGTGTCCTAGAAAGCAGACTCACTTAGTCTAGGGGAGAAGCCTCTTTACTCTGATGCTTTCCCCTCCCATGGCCAGGGCTGGGCAGGGGCGGGCCCCACCCTGACACCTGCCCCACCTCTCACAGAGCATCATCTACTACGTGAGCCGCTCACCGAAGCTGGAGGCGTGGCTAAGCCACGAGGGCATTGCAGCAGCCCTGCGGCCCGTGCGGGCCCCTGGCTATGCCGACTCAGACCCCACCTTCTCGCTGAGTGTGGATGAAGATTATGACCTTCGCCTCTCTGGCCTCTCGCTGCCCTCCTTCTGTGCCGTGCACCTCGAGTGGATCCAGTACTGTGCCTCCCGGCGCAGCCAGGTCAGGCGTCACTACCTGCAGGCTGCCCCACTTGGGGCTCCAGGGACCTGGGTGTATCCACTTCTCCCATCTGCATTTATTCCTCCCACCCTGAGCCTCCCTCGGCCTGGGCCCCAGTCCCCACCCTAAGTTCCCTGTCCCAGGTCTGAGTGGGCTCTGGGGACGGGGTCCTTGTGCCACAGCCCGTGGACCAGGATTGGAACTCGCCGCTGGTCACGCTGTGTTTTGGCCTGTGTGTGCTGGGCCGCCGGGCCCTGGGGACAGCTTCGCACAGCATGTCTGCCAGGTGAGTGCCCACAGGTCCGGGTGGGCCTACTGCTCTCCCAATCCCGACCCTCATGAAGAGCTCTGTGTTTCTGGCCAGTGGCCCCCTGGAAACTCATCGGTCCTTCCTATTGGTGTGACTGTCCTCACATGGGCAAATCGTGACTTAGCCTGCTCTTCGCTGCTCTGTGAGGGACATGAACGGATACAGCTTGTTTGTCAAGATAGGGAAACTGAGGCCCACCATGAGGAAGGGTCTTGGTTCAGATCGCTCTGAAGCCTTAGACCCCTGGTTCTTCCCAACCCTTCACTTATCTCCCTGTTCCTCCTCCCCACTCAGCCTGGAGCCCTTCCTCTACGGCCTGCACGCCCTGTTCAAGGGGGACTTTCGCATCACCTCCCCGCGGGACGAGTGGGTCTTTGCCGACATGGACCTGCTTCACCGCGTAGTGGCACCTGGGGTTCGCATGGCCCTCAAGCTTCACCAGGTCAGGGAGGAGTTGTTCAGGCAGCACAGGTTCGAAGCCGCTCCCCAGGGAAGGGTCCACTGACCCTGGTGCTCCTGTCTCCTGCCAGGACCACTTCACATCCCCAGATGAGTATGAGGAGCCAGCGGCCCTGTACGATGCCATTGCAGCCAATGAGGAACGGCTGGTCATCTCACACGAGGGTGACCCCGCCTGGCGCAGCGCCATCCTCAGCAACACACCCTCCCTGCTGGCACTGCGCCACGTCATGGATGATGCCTCTGACGAATACAAGATCATCATGCTCAACCGGCGCCACCTCAGCTTCCGGGTTATCAAGGTGGGGATGGTCCTGCCCGGCACAGCCCAGCCCCTCTTCCTTGGACCGGCCCCCTGACCCCCGCGTGCACCTGCCTGCAGGTGAACCGTGAGTGCGTGCGAGGCCTGTGGGCTGGGCAGCAACAGGAGCTGGTGTTCCTGCGCAACCGCAACCCAGAGCGCGGCAGCATCCAGAACGCCAAGCAGGCACTTCGCAACATGATCAATTCGTCTTGTGACCAGCCGCTGGGCTACCCCATCTATGTGTCGCCCCTCACCACCTCGCTGGCCGGCAGCCACCCCCAGCTGCGGGCACTGTGGGGTGGCCCCGTCAGCCTGGGCGCCATCGCCCGCTGGCTCCTACGCAGCTGGGAGAGGTGAGCCCTCACCACCTCCTGTGAGGCCTGCAGCAGGGCTGAGGTGCAGTGAGGTGAAGCAGTGCCCTCCTCAGCCCCAGAGTGAGGAAGTGCTAGCGCCTAAGAGATGACCCCTTTCCAGAGGTGGGACCCTTCAATGTCCCACCCCTTAAGTTGACAGTGGCCTTTAGTGTAACACAGTTGACAATGCCTCCCTCAAAAGGCCTTGCAAAGTAGGCAGCAAAACCCCTTAGAGTTGAGGACCTTGGGGCTGAGAACTATTAGATGACTTGTCCTGAGACTGGGGACCTCGGCTCTTGAGGCCTGTGGCCTTAGCCATGTCCCCCCGTGACCCTTCTCTACCGCCCTACTCTAGGCTTCATAAGGGCTGTGGCGCTGGCTGCAACAGTGGCGGGAACGTGGATGATTCGGACTGTGGTGGGGGCGGTGGCCTGACCTCCCTCAGCAATAACGCCCCCTTGGCACACCCCACGCCTGAGAACACAGCAGGTGAGCAGGCGGGGCTGGGCTAAGCCCTTGGGAAAGTAGGACAGCCCAGCTGAGGTCTCTGCTCTTATCTGTCTCCCACAGGCAGTGGTGACCAACCCCTCCCACCAGGCCCTGGCTGGGGGCCACGGCCCTCCCTGAGCAGCTCTGGTGATGGACGGCCCCCTCCTCTGCTACAGTGGCCTCCCCCTCGGCTCCCTGGGCCACCCCCTGCCTCGCCTGCCCCCACTGAGGGCCCCCGGCCCTCACGGCCCCCTGGCCCTGGTCTCCTCAGTTCTGAGGGCCCCAGTGGGAAGTGGAGCCTGGGGGGCCGGAAGGGGCTAGGAGGATCCGATGGGGAGCCAGCCTCAGGGAGCCCTAAAGGAGGCACCCCCAAATCTCAGGTAAGGGGCCTGTGGGAGGGTCGTGTCGGGGGGGGGGGGCTCAGGTCTGCTTGCCCGCCAACCTCTCTCCCCTCCCCCAGGCGCCTCTAGACCTCAGCCTCAGCCTCAGCCTCAGCCTCAGCCCAGATGTCAGCACCGAGGCCTCGCCTCCTAGAACAGCCCAGGACATTCCCTGCTTGGACATCAGTGCCCCTGAAAGTGGCACACCTACCGGGGCTGCGGGCGACTGGCCTGCCCCTGCTGAGGAACGGGAGAGCCCAGCAGCCCAGCCATTGCTGGAGCACCAGTACTGAGCGGCCTGGCACCCACTGGACCCCATCCCAGGACTTCAGTAACTTGGATCCCCTCTGCTGCCTCTGGCCTTCTCTGCTGGACCACAGAACTGAGTGGCTTTGGCTCTCACGTCTGAACCCTGACCTCTGGCTGCCTCAGCCAGAGTCCAGAACTAAATGGCCCAGGCCTCTGACCTTGACCCCTGATCTCTCTCATCCCTAGCCCAGGGCCTGGGGCTCCCCAAACTGAGGCAGTCAGCCTCCCAGCCAGGCCCTAACAGCCGAACCATGGGCTGGACCCGCTTTGAGCCAGTGGCCAGGACCAACTCAGCCCCTGGGCCTGCACTGCCTGCAGGGGTGGCCCCTTTGGCCTGGACCTGTAGCCTGAAGTGTGGGAAGGGTGGTTTTTTTTTTTTTTGGTCATTTTTTTTTTTTGGGGTTTTTTTTTTTTTTTTTTTTTTTTTTGTGCTTCAGAGACACCAGAATTAATAACACTATTTTTGATTTTGCTTGGCAGTTTCTTCTTCTACCTGGGAATGAGTACAGGATAGAGGTGGCCAAATAAGGGTGGATGAGCACAGAGGAGGGGTGAAGGATGTGGGGTAGAGACCAAGGTCAGACCAAGGTGGGGTTCAGGTTAGACTGAGTTCTCTTCCCCACAAGCCTGTTTCCTTTCCAAGCCTTGATGTGAAGGTGGTTGTGTTCAATTTCCCACCCCCATATGTTCAAAGACTTCCAGCTCTAGTGGCTTCTTTTAATAGCCTTGACCTTGGCTAAAGCCCTTATCTGAATCTCAATTGCTCCAAGCCATAAAGAGATGATAACACCTAAGGTGTTTTATTAAAAATAAATGAACCAGCATGGGTAGAGCAATTACCCAGGGCCAAGTGCTTAGCAAGTGCTCAAAAATCGCAGTCCCTGAGCACCTGCTGTGTGCCAGCAGGGAGCTGGACACCACTCCTCTAGCTCTCCCGGCTGGTCTGGAGGGTGGGTACACTTGTTCTCATTTCTCAGCCAAGGAAACGGGCTGAGAGAGTCGGTACAGCAGGTGGAGGCTCCACCGCTCGCTGGGGCTGGGCATGCCTTCAGACTGCGTGCAGTATTGACCACCGCCTGGCCTGGTGTCCCCGCCTGTGGCGCTTCCCGCCGCAGACAGCTCCCGGCCGGCCCCGCCCCCTCCGCCGCGCCCCGCCCCCAGGCGGAGCCGGCGCCGGGAGCGGTAGCGGGAGAGCGGCAGCGGGACCCCAGCGCGGGAGGCGGCGGCCGGGCGGGAGCCCCAGAGGTACTGGTGGGAGCAGGGGACGGGGGGCACCGCTGTCTGGCCGGACAGGGGAGAAGGTGGTCTGGCCGTGGGCCCTGGTAGTGTGTGCGTGTGTGGGAGGGAGAGTTCCTTGCCACGTTCGCTGGCTACACACTCCCAACCTCCTGGCTCCAGCTCAGTCCCGAGTCAACTTGTCCAGTCCCCTGCCTCTGGCCACTCACCTATACTCCCTCCTCTGCGGGACGGCCTCACCAGGCCAGTGAGCTGAATGGACACAGCGGCTTCTGGCTCCTCTCGGCGCCTCTGGCGACTGCCCCTGCTGCCAAGTGTGTGGGGCTCCCCCGATTCTGGGGCTCCCCTTTTCCCTGCCGGGCCTCCTCCCCAGCCTTTGCACACCACCCCCTAGTCTGTCTCCTGGCCTGGGAGGAAACATCTGTCGCACCCCCTGGCAGCAGAAATGGGGTCATGACCTCCAGATGTGCTGGGAAGCGGCCAGCGCCTCCTCCTGGGGCAGCCAGGCCTTCCGGATCTGTGGGGGTGGGGCAGGCCTCTTCCCCCCAACCTCCCCCCCCCCAGTGACACAGGCCTCAAGGAATGTCCCGGCCTCAATGGACCCTGTGTGAAGCTGCCGGGTGGGGAGCAAAGCCCAAGAACATCCTCCACGGCAGGGCCAGAGCCCGGCACTGGGCCAGAGTAAGAGGCAGCCCACGAGCTGGGTGCACACACATCAACAGAGCTTACCCACAGTTTGTAGATCTCATCCTACATGGAGCAGGGCCTGCATAGACCCCTCCCACACACACCATAGCCTAGGCTCAAGCATGCAAGTGCCCAGAGCTTGGCACATGAGGCCAGGGCCTACATCCACTATGCACATATATGGCTAGCTATACTTGCCTCACTCTCCTTTCAACCTCCCAACGGTCCTTGGAGGGGACAGAAATAGTTAACCCCATTTCAGAGATGAGAAAACAGGCTCAAGGTCAGGATCAGAACTTATCCTAGGAGAAACCAAGGCAGGAAGCACCCAGAGCTGGGGAGGGCTACACTTGCTTGGTTCTGGAGGCCCCAGCTAAGGGGAGCATAGAGCCCAGCTCCATGTGATACCACTGGATGATGCACGGAGACCCAGCATCACATGCCTATACCCCAGTGGAGGGTGCCCAGGTCCCTGTCCTGGTTGCCTGCTCCATCCAGGGCTTACTGGGACATGGCCTCCCCTCAAGTTCTCACCCCACCTTTGGCACCTGCGTCTGGCCTCATCACAGTACTTAGCAGGTCCCTGGGGCCTTGGGTGTCTCAATCTTACATCCTGTGAGACCTTGAGCCTCAGCCCAGCCCCCACCCATCTCACACCTACACAGCTGACTGGAGTGGGCAGGTGCAGCTCTGTTTAGGAGCTGACAGACCCAGGTGAGATCCTAGCTCTGACATGGAATTGCTTCAGGCAAGAGCATCTCACTTTGACCTGTCACATGGGGTTCAGACCTCTCCTTCCACATCAGTGAGACGAAGTAGGCAAAGGTCCCCAGGGGTCCCAAATCCAGCAAAGGGGCCAGGTCAGCATGACTCCCTCTCTTTCCCCAGGCATGGGCATAGGAGCCTGCAACGGGGTGGGCCTGGACCTGTCCTTGAGGTCAGAATGACTTGGGTCCCGTGACTAAGCTGGTGTGACCCCAGCACCTTTCTCAGGATGTGGAGGCTGGGGTGGGAACTGAGCACAGCATTGCGGCCACTTCCTGTGCCGAAGGAAGTCCTCTTGCCATTGCTGCTGCCTTGCCGCTGCCCCCAGGAGTCCCTGTGTCCTTGAGGTATTGAGACTGGAGGGCTAGGGCATTGAGACCAGGCCTCTGGGTGCTTAGCTCCCCAGGGACCCTGGAGGAAGTGGGAGGGGCAGGGAGGAAGGTCTCTGGGGACAGGACGTCCTCTCTTTGTCAAGCAGGCAGGACCCAGACACCAGTGGCCCCATGGGTTTCCCGTCCCAGCCGAGACAATTTGTCCAGTTGGGCCAGGCCTTTGTGGGACCCTTACTCTGAGCCCGGGTCAAAGCCAAGGTGTGTAGATGAATAAGGGGACCTGGCAGCCCCAGGGCTGCCCAGGTTCCAGGGCCCTCAGGGCCAAGGTCCAACACCCCAGCCCCTGGCTCTGCCCAGCTAAGCCCGAGAGGGGGCTGGAAACCTCAGCCCTAGGCAGACGAGGAAGTGGCCAGGAAAGCGGAAGCAGCTTTGATGGTCTCGGAGGGGGCCGGAAGCCAACCCAGTTGGTGGAGGACCAGGTTGGGGGCTGGGGTTCCTGTTTTCTCCCCAGGTCCCTCTGAGCAGCCCCCTCCTCTTTCAAGGCAGGAACTGCTGCCGCAACCTCGGCCTGCCAGCTGGGCACTAAACACCTGTGCCCGCCAATGCGGCCCGGGCCCCGGAGAGTCAGGCCCGCAGAGCACGCCCATGTGGGCCGGTGGTGTGGGGAGCCCTCGGCGGGGCATGGCCCCTGCACCCACGGATGACCTCTTCGCCCGCAAGCTGCGCCAGCCAGCACGGCCCCCGCTGACACCACACACCTTTGAGCAGAGGCCAGCCCGGAGCCCACTCCTGCGCAGCGGCAGCGATGCAGGCGAGGCCAGACCCCCCACGCCAGCCAGCCCCCGTGCCCGTGCCCACAGCCATGAGGAGGCTGGACGCCCTGCCGCAGCTTCCAGCCGGCTCTTCACTGACCCACTGGCCCTGCTGGGGCTGCCAGCAGAGGAACCAGAGCCTGCCTTCCCGCCAGTGCTGGAGCCCCGATGGTTTGCCCACTATGACGTGCAGAGCCTGCTCTTTGATTGGGCTCCAAGGCCACGGGGGACGGGGGGCCACACTGAGGCCAGCTCTGGGACCCTGGCTTCAGCTGAGGACCAGGCTACCAGCTCGGACCTGCTGCTTGGGGCGCCTGGCTTTGTGTGTGAGCTTGGGGGTGAGGGTGAGCTAGGTCTGGGTGGACAAGTGTCCCCACCTGTGCCGCCCACGCTGCCCAATGCGGCCGTGTCCATCCTGGAGGAGCCACAGAACCGAACCTCAGCCTACAGCCTGGAGCATGCAGACCTGGGTGCTGGCTACTACCGCAAGTACTTCTACGGCAAAGGTGAGGGGAAGGCAGAGGTCCCAGGGAGGGGCAGAGGTTCCTGTCACTGCAGTACACACAGTAGGAAGTCCCCGGCCATAAGAAGGATCAGGAGCTGAACTGAGATTCTTCTGGACCCACCTTTAACCACCTCCATAAGGCCAGCCCTGGCCCTTCGCCCCCAGCCAGGGTGTACCCCTCTGCCTCCATCTGGTTCATCCTCACAACCCTCCAGGCTGCAGGAGAGTCCCTGTCTACATTCCTGTGAGATGAGGACTCAGGCCTAAAAGCTGTGAACCTGGGAACCATGTTCTCACCTGCTAAGACAGGGTTCCAGCACAGGGAAGGGAGAATATGGGTGCGGTGGGCGGGGCCAGGGCAGGATTTAGGCCTCGGGAGCAGGTCACTGAGTCTAAGTCTGGGACAAGGTGTGATGTGAGCAGGGCTACAGAGGGGCGGGACTTAGCCTGGGCCCTAAACTTGGTGGTAAGTGGGATCCTGGAGCTGAACTTAGTGATGGGCATGGTCCAGCGAGGGCATGCTGCCTGGGTGGGACCAATCATTCACAGCACGGCCCCCTAGAACACCAGAATTTCTTCGGGCTGGACGAGGTGCTGGGCCCGGTAGCAGTGAGCCTGCGGCGGGAGGAGAAGGAGGGCAGCGGAGGGGGCACCCTGCACAGCTACCGAGTCATCGTGCGGACCACGCAGGTGGGCCAGGGTCACGGGGTGGGGCTGTGGGTTGCCTCCCCCACACCCTGTATGGATCCTGAGCACCCCTACATCTCCCCTCCCCAGCTCCGGACCCTTCGAGGCACCATCTCAGAGGATGTGCTGCCGCCGGGGCCCCCAAGAGGCCTGTCCCCAAGGAAGCTTCTGGAGCATGTGGCACCGCGGCTGAGCCCGACTTGTCTGCGCCTGGGTTCAGCTTCACCCAAGGTGCCTCGCACACTGCTCACACTGGACGAGCAAGTGGTGAGTGGCCAGGAAGCCTCAGCCTTACAGTTAGACCTGATCTGAACCCAGGTCCCAGGTCCCAAACCCCCGGCCCTGACCCTGATCCTGGGCTGGACGGTGACCCTGGTAGAGCTAGCTTTTCAGACACAAGGCATTGGAAGTCGTGTAGAGCCTTGCTTCTCCAAGTCAGGGCTGTAGACCAGCAGCATCCACATACATCATCTGGGTGCTTGTTAGAAACGCAGATTCTGGAGCCCCACCCCAGCCCTACTGAACCACAGTCTGCTTCGTAAAAAGATCCCGAGGTGATGCACATGTACTTTACAGCCCTAGAAGTCCTGGTCTGACTGACCCCACCGCTCCTTCAGTGCCCTCAGCATTCTTGGCCAGTGTGCCTTGCAGCCTCTGCTTGGTCTCCTCTCAACATGTGGTGCTCACTCCTTCCCGGAGCTGCCCATTCCACTCTGGGACATCAAGCCAGTTGGAAGTCATTTCCTGTGCTGAAAGCTGCCCACTAGCTGAGTCTCCTCCCGTGTCATTCACCCCATCAGTAACATTCAACAAACATTTCCTCACCCCTTCTTGGTGCCAGGCCCCAGCCTGGATGCTGGGGATAGGTCCAGACCAGGTGCTCTCCTTGAGTGGCTCACAGCTGGGTTGGGGAGAGAGACCCACAGAATTGTTGAAATTCAGAACAACGAAAGGGGAGTGTGGAGGGTTCCATGGGGCACAAAGGCAGTACTGATGGCTCTTCCCTGGTCAGGCTTTCCCAGCACAGAGGAAACACAAGAGCTCAAGCCCAGCTGAGCCGGGTTTTCTGGGCAGAAGGAACAATTTGTGTGAAGGCTTAGAGGCTGAAGGCGTGTCACATTTGTACTGTTCAATGTGGCTGGAGTAGGGATTAGTGGGGAGGGGATGGGGAGAAACTTGCATTTGTTCCTGTGGGCACTGGGGAGCCGTGGAAGGATTCAAAGCACAGCTGAGAGGTGCAGTAGCCCTCTGGCTGCGGTGTGGGGGCTAGACTAGAGGGGCAGGGGCCAGGTGGAAGAAGGCTCTTACAGTTGTACAGGCTAGACATCGTGGTGACAATCGTGGAGGTGAAGAGGATGTGCTAGCCCAGGGGCAAAGTGGGTAGCCCCGTGACTGCCTGAAGGGCGTGGAGTGTTGAGCGGCCCTACCTGCCTGGCTTCTGGGAGTGCTGTTTCTATGGAGAAGGAGCAGGGTTGGGGAGTCACAGCAAGGAGATGAGGTGCCAGGTGCCAGACAAGGACATCCAGGAAACTGGAGAAATGGCTCTGGAGTTTGGGAGCGGGGTCTGGGCTGGTGGCAGAGATGGGGGTGCTGTCTGATGGAGGTGGCTGCTGAGCCGCTGAGGGGGAGGAGCTGCAATCAAGTGGGTAGAGAAGAGGCCCAGGAAGAAGGGGGGACCCCTGGGGACCCAGGCAATGTGATGTTCCAGTTGTCCCCGGTGCCAACTGTGGCCAAGAGGGGGTCACATCTATGGGCAGCAGGGGGCTGGGAGGAATGAAACTGAAGTGGGGACTGAGGGTGAACACACTTAGCTATGAAGAAGGGAGGTGAGAGCAGGAGGGGAGCCTGGGCTGTTTGAATGGGGTCAGAGCATCTTGAGCTGTGCGTGGTTATCCACAGACGGAAAGGAACTGGGAGCAGAGAGGGTATAGAAACAGGACAGGTGGCACATGGCTCAAGGCCTCCAGAGGCTGGGGTGGGGGGTGCCTTGGATTCAAGGGTGGAGAGGACAGTCTGGTCTTGAGATAAGGAAGATGACAATGTGAACATTTATTGGGAGTGTACTGTGTGCAGGATCCTTTCTGTCTCCTCTGTTGTCACATGAGAACCGCTTCCTCTCATCCCTTCTCATCTGGGACTTCCTCTCCCCACCTCCTGAGCACTAGGAGCAGGGCAGACTATCCTCACTTGACAGGCAGGGGCACAAGTGGCCACACACACAGGCAGCCCAGCCCGCAGGCCAGTGTCCTGTCTAGTCCCTGTGACACAGTGGGGGTAGGGCTGGCGGGGGGACTGAGGCCTACGCCTTCTGCCCACCCCCTTCCTCCAGCTGAGCTTCCAGCGCAAGGTGGGCATCCTGTACTGCCGGGCGGGCCAGGGCTCAGAGGAGGAGATGTACAACAACCAGGAGGCAGGACCGGCCTTCATGCAGTTCCTCACCTTGCTGGGCGACGTGGTGCGGCTCAAAGGCTTTGACAGTTACCGGGCCCAGCTGGACACCAAAAGTGAGGCCCAGGGGCCTGGATGGGCGGGGGCAGACCCAGGCTGAGGGCAAACTTCTTTGGTCTGAATGAACTGCCTTGTCACTCCTTTGTCCATATTGTCCTGGGGCAGGGGTTAGGGACTGGAGTGTTCTTTGAGTAAGCTAAGGACTTGAGTCAGGCCTACAAGGGCCAAGCTATGGACTGAGAGGAGGGGCTGGGACTGTCCCCAAGGCCTGAGCACCCTACTGCCTGAGCTGTAGCCAAGGTGGTTTAGGGGTACCACTCCTCTACAGGACACGTTCCAGTGGCCCAGACTCGGAGCGGGGGAGGGGTGGAGGAGGGTGCTCCTGTCTCCCTGGTTGGAAGGACCCCAGCGCCCCTGGGAGGTGTTTGAGCACTTCTTGCCTGCTTCCCACTCTCCCAGCATGGCATACACTTCTGCCTGGGTCATCATCTGTCCTTTTCTGGGATACCTGCCCCCTGCCTCCCTCTGAGACCACTTCTCATTTGTGTCTTCATTCTATTTCAGCACCTCAATCCTGATGCCCCTGCACCCCAGCATGGGGCTGGAGCCTGTGTAGGGAGGGGAAGGGGCAGCCAAGGCTGAGGTCCTTGGACCTCATGGCCTGGGCCTTGGGTGGTGGCATGAGGGGTTGGCCACCTGCTGGTTGGGGCAGGGCAGGCTCCTGAGTGGAATGCAGGATGCAGGAATGGCAGGTTCAAGCCACCCAGATTCCTCTTGCTTTCCCTCTGTGTCTCCAACTCCTTGGCCACAGCGGATTCCACAGGCACACACTCCCTCTACACCACGTACCAGGACCACGAGATCATGTTCCACGTGTCCACGATGCTGCCTTATACCCCTAACAACCAGCAGCAGGTGTGTGTGGGGGAGGAAAGGGGGTTCCCTGGGAATCTTGGAGGGTGCTGTGTGGGTGGCAATATTTGAGCTTTAGTTGGCCTGTGCTGTTGACCCCCAACAACCCTCTGCTCTGATGGCCCCTTCACAACAAACGCTCCAGGCCTTCACCTGGGCAAGTAGAGAGCTATTGGTGCCTTGGCTTTGCCCTGCCTGAATGAGGAGGGGCTTGGGGGATACACAGCCCCTCTTAAGCTCCCACCATCTAACCCCCCAGCTCCTGCGGAAACGCCACATCGGCAACGACATTGTGACCATCGTGTTCCAGGAGCCTGGCAGCAAACCCTTCTGCCCCACCACCATCCGCTCGCATTTCCAGCACGTGTTTCTAGTGGTGCGCGCGCACGCGCCCTGCACCCCATATACCTCTTACAGGTGGGCGCCTGGTTGGTCCCGGGTCTCCCCTGGGCACTGCATCCTGCTGCCCCTCACTACCGCATCCATCCCCACAGGGTGGCCGTGAGCCGCACCCAGGACACCCCGGCCTTTGGGCCAGCTCTGCCCCCTGGCGGAGGCCCCTTCGCGGCCAACGCTGACTTCCGAGCTTTCCTGCTGGCCAAGGCGCTCAATGGCGAGCAGGCGGCGGGCCACGCACGTCAGTTCCACGCCATGGCCACGCGCACGCGCCAGCAGTACCTGCAGGACCTGGCCACCAACGAGGTGACCACTACGTCGCTGGACTCCGCTTCGCGCTTCGGCCTGCCCTCCCTGGGCGGGAGGCGCCGGGCGCCCCCTCGGGGCCCAGGCGCCGAGCTGCAGGCGGCGGGCGCGCTGGTGTGGGGCGTGCGCGCGGCGCCCGGGGCTCGGGTCGCAGCCGGGGCCGAGGCGGGCGACCCCGACGGCGCCGAGGTGCCTTGCCTACTGGGCATCTCGGCTGAGGCTCTTGTGCTGGTGGCGCCGCGCGACGGCCGCGTGGTCTTCAACTGTGCCTGTCGCGACGTGCTGGCCTGGACCTTCTCCGAGCAGCTGCTCGACCTGTACCACGGCCGCGGAGAGGCGATCACGCTGCGGTTCGACGGGCCTCCCAGCCAAGCGGTGGGCGAGGTGGTGGCGCGCCTGCAGGTGAGCCTGGGGAGGCGACGGAGGCCTGGGAGTAGGCGCGGGATGCCTGGGCACTCGCCCCCGCGAGTCGGGCGGAGTCTGCTTTGGAACCCCTCTCCTGCCGCCCTCCTGAGGAAAGGAAAGGCGAGGGAGCAACCCAGACCGGGAGCTCGGCTGAGCGGGCACTGGCGGCCCTCGGGGAAGGGCTCCCAGAGCCTCAGGCCCACATGTGCTGGGTGGGCTGCTAACGCTCACGTCGCGCTCCGCCCCGCAGCTGGTGAGCCGCGGCTGTGAGACCCGCGAGCTCGCGCTGCCCCGCGACGGCCAAGGTCGCCTGGGCTTCGAGGTGGACACCGAGGGCTTCGTCACGCACGTGGAGCGCTTCACGTTCGCCGAGACGACGGGGCTGCGGCCCGGGGCGCGCCTGCTGCGCGTGTGCGGCCAGACGCTGCCCAGCCTGGGCCCCGAGGCCGCCGCCCAGCTGCTGCGCTCGGCGCCCAAGGTCTGCGTCACCGTCCTGCCCCCGGACGAGAGCGGCCGGCCCCGCAGGTCAGCGTTCCCGGGACGGGCGAGGACCAGGCAGCTGGCTACCACCCAGCCCGTGTCGCTAGGAGCTTTCTCTCCAGAATCCCATGCGGATGTCTTTCCTTCTGCGGAGAATCCCATGTCTCCATCTCTTTTCTTTTCTTTTCTTTTTTTTTTGAGACAGAGTCTCACTCCGTTGCCCAGGCTAGAGCGAGCGCCGTGGCGTCAGCCTAGCTCACAGCAACCTCAATCTCCTGGGCTCAAGCAATCCTGCTGCCTCAGCCTCAGCCTGGCCCCTATGTCTCCATCTCTGAACCGCACTTTCCTCACATGTCTAATGGAACCAGTTAAGCGCGTTGTTTTCACTGCTCAAAAGATCAAATAGGGGCCGGGCGCGGTGGCTCACGCCTGTAATCCTAGCACTCTGGGAGGCTGAGGCAGAAGGATTGCTCGAGGTCAGGAGTTTGAAATCAGCCTGAACAAGAGCGAGACCCCATCTCTACTATGAATAGAAAGAAATTAATTGGCCAACTAATATATATAGAAAAAATTAGCCAGGCATGGTGGTGCATGCCTGTAGTCCCAGCTACTCAGGAGGCTGAGGCAGAAGGATCACTTGAGCCCAGGAGTTTGAAGCTGCTGTGAGCTAGGCTGACGCCACGGCACTCACTCTAGCCCGGGCAGAGTGAGACTCTGTCTCAAGAAAAAAAAAAAAAAAGATCAAATAGCAGCCTGTTATCTTTTTTTTTAGTATTAGCCCCTACACACACACACACACACACACACACACACACACACACACACACACTATGGATTCCTCACTGTGCTAAGCCAGGTACAGGCAAACTTCTGTAAAGGGCCAGACAGTAAATATTTTAGGTTTTCTGGGCCATCTGATCTTTGTGGCAGCTACTCTGTCCTTGTAGGTAAATGAGTAAGTGTGGCTAAAGCTTTAATGATTGTTCTGCTAAAGCTTCATTTATGGGCACTGAAATTTCGATTTTATATGACTTTCACTTATCAGGAAATATTTTGATTTCTTTCAGCTAGTTAAAATGTAAAAGCCATTCTTAGCTCCCAGGCGTCACCTGTTCTGTAAATGGGTACATCTGCTTAAAAAGGAAAACGGCTGGATTTGGCTCCAGGCAGTAGTTTTTGGATGCCAAGCTATTGATCTGTTGTTTGAACAGATATGGGGTTAGGACTTTATCTCCATTTCACAGATGGAGAAACTGATGTCCAGAGTGATTTTCTCAGGATACACTGGGGCAGCCCTGGAATTTGAACCATGGTTTGGGAAAATGGCCAGTAACCAGGCAGACATTTCTCATTGTTGTCCAGGCGTTTGAGGAGCTCTCCTCCTGGAAGTGCCTGGGTAGCAGCTGGGTTTGGGGCTGGTGATGCAGGACTCCAGGGAGTGCGGACTCCTGACTACCCCTGCCTCTTCCCCACCAGGAGCTTTTCGGAGCTGTACAGGCTGTCTCTGCAGGAGCCCAGCCGGCGAGGGGCCCCAGAACCAGTGGAGGAGGAAGCCCCCAGAGTGGTCCTGCTGCCTGTCACAAAGCAGCTGCTGCACCTGTGCCTGCAAGATGATAGTGGCCCGCCAGGGCCCCGGGATCTGGCTGAGGAGCGGACTGAGTTCCTGCACAGCCAGAACTCGCCCTCACCCCGCAGGTGCATGCTCTTGGCCTTCCCTCCCCTCCAGGCCTCTGTAACAGCAGCTTCTGGTTCTGAGCCCTTCGCTCTCCCCAGCTCCCTGTCGGATGAGGCCCCAGTCCTGCCCAACACCACCCCAGACCTCCTCCTGGCCACCACAGCCAAGTCATCAATACCCAGCGCTGACAGGGAGACACCCCCCACCCAGGTGAGCAGAAACAAGGCTCTGGAGCTCAATGGCACATGGTACCAATGGGTGTCACGGAATCCACATCCACTTCTGCCCCCCAGGATGGGCCCAGCAGCCTCAGTGGTTCTGAGGACAAGGGCGACCCAGCCCCAGAACTGAGGGCCTCCTTTCTGCCACGAACCTTGTCTCTGCGGAACTCCATCAGCAAGAGTGAGTGTGGAGTAGGAGGGTCTGGGACGAGAGTAGGGGATGCTCCTGGGTCCCCTGGCTGAGCCCACTTCTCGTGCCCGCAGTCATGTCAGAGGCAGCCAGTGAGACCCTGGAGGACGAGTGGCAGTCCATCTCAGAGATCGCCTCCACTTGCAACACCATCCTGGAGTCACTGTCCCGGGAGGGTGAGGCCACCAGGGCACTGGGGGTGGGAGCCAAGATGGTGCTCTTTCTCCCTTTCTGACCTGCCTGCGTGGTTCCTCTATAGGACAGCCCATCCCAGAGAGCGGAGACGCCAAAGGAACTCCAAAGTCTGATGCCGAGTAAGCCCCTGTCCCATGCCCATGTGACCCCCCCTTCCTGCCTGTGCCCTGGCATCGTGCTCTGCTTCCACACACACACATCAGTCTGAGGAGACAGGGTGGGCCCCTCTCATTAGGCAGGGCTGGGGGCTGGCCGAGGTGCTGCCCTGCCTTGGTCCTGCTGAGTCCTGACCCCCATGTCCTCAGGCCAGAGCCTGGGAGCCTGTCGGAGAAGGTCTCTCACTTGGAGTCCATGCTCAGGAAGCTGCAGGAGGACCTGCAGAAGGTGAGGAGTGGGCCAGGGTGGTGGGGAGTCTCAGGGCTGCCCCTGGAAAGGGGCCAGCTGCTCTGACACCTTCCTCCCTGCCTGCCCCAGGAGAAGGCAGACAGAGCAGCCCTGGAGGAGGAGGTACGGAGCCTGAGGCACAACAACCGGCGGCTTCAGGCCGAATCGGAGAACGCAGCCACACGCCTGCTCCTGGCCTCCAAGCAGCTGGGCTCACCGACCACCGACCTGGCCTGAGCCATCCCGTCCAGCCTCAGTCTGGCTGTGGGCCTGCTTGGAACCTCCTGGGCCCTCAGCCCTCCTCAGGAACTCTCTCCCTGCGCAGAGGCGCATCTTAGCACTGCCCCCCACTCCCTAGCCCGTTATTTGGTGGTGGAAGCTGCCCCCACCCTGTCCCTGTTTGTAAATATTCTTTGGAGAAAAAGGGATTTCAGGGAGTAAAGAAGCCACTGCTATTTGTATCTGTACATGTGTTCAAGACATGATGGAGAGGGGGTTTTGCCCCCAGAGGCCTCAGCCAAGCTCCCTGGGCTAGTTAGGACAGGTCCTGGGGACACTGGGTCAGGGTTGAGCTGGCACTCACTGAGGGGGTCTCTGAGGCTAGGCCACCCCTTGGCTTCTCTCCCATAAACATTTATTTGGTTCTGTTTGGAAGCAGGTGGCCATACCCCATACTTACCCAGCTAGTTCTTTAAGCCCCGAAACCAAACCTAAGGGGCTGAGATCTGGGGCAGAGGAACAGAGGGTAGACTGCAGGGCAGGGGAGGGAGGAACCTGGTGGTCAGGAGCGTCTGGCCATTCCTCACATGGCCTTGCCCCCCAGTGCAAGCCTTGCTCTCCTCTCTGTAGTCACTGAGCCCCCAGCCTGGTATTCTCTCAACCACCTGGCCACATCCTACACGGCCTGATCCCAGAGGAAGCAGCTCCTCTGCCTCAGTCTCCTGGGGGTGTTCCATGTCCCGCAAGAAATTGGCTCTTGACTCCTCTCTGCTCACCAGCCTGCCACCTGCTCTGTTCCTCACCAGGCTGGGCGAGGGAAGCACACATGTCACAGACCATCATGAATGGCATCATCAGGTCCAAACTTGGACTTTGTCTAAACTCTGTGTTCTGGACCAGAGGCCCAGACAGAGCACTGACTTGCCCAACATCACATGCCTATGCCAGCCCCTTCCCCAGGCTGGTTGAAGTTCACTGCTGAGACCTAAGCCCTGGATCTGTTAATTTAGGTGCTGGCAGGATGAGCTAGGCTCTGAGAAACAGAGCATCTGGGGATCAGGAAGACTTCCTGGGAAAGGTAACATGAAGCCTGAGTTTTGAAGGTTAAGTAGAAGTTCACCAGGCAGAGACATCTAAGGTATCTGGTAGGACCAGTCTGGTGCCTACTGGACTGGAGTCAGGGCACATGCAGGACCTCGGGCTCTAAGAAGCTGGAGCTAGATCAGAAGGGGTTGTGATGGGTGCATTAAGGATCCTGGATTAGCAGTTCCCAAGACTGCCAGTTTTTCATGGTGTGGACTGTAGTGAGCAGCCCTCATGGACAGTGAGAAAAGCTGTGGTCACTCTCTGAGGGTATGTCTGCAGAGAACTGGGATCTGGTCATGTGGCTGATGTTTAAAGGGAGAGTGATGGGGTGAGGTTTGAGTGTCAGAGCTCTTTGGCTGCTGGGAGGCCAGGGAGGAGGCTGTAGCAGCAGTCTGGTAGGAGGTAGTGGTGACAATGGGGAGAAGTGGGCAGATTTTCCAGGACCTCATGAGGAACTGGATGCAAATTGCTTAGGGGAGAAGAGGTGGTCTCCACAGTAGTGGCCAGGTTTCTGGCTGGAGCCCCTGGAGGGAGGGTGGCAGGCCATGGCTGACACGGGAAAGCGGGGCCAGACGGCATGGTTCAGGTCATTTGGAACGGGGCGAATGTGGGAGGCCTGAGGGCTGTCAGAGTGATGTTCAGGGTCCGGCGCACAGGGAAGAGAGGTCTGGGCTGGAGACAGGATTTAGAACTTGGTGAGCCACGAGCAAGATGAGATCACTCAGGGCGTGTGAGAAGAACCATGAGGGTTTTTGGGGGTCATTGGAGGTCACTGCGAGACTTGGCTGGGAAAGACAAGAAGAGGGCGGCGCAGCCTGGACTGGAGGACCCGGGCTCACTGGGACTGCACGCAGCTCCGCCAGCCGCTCCCTGGGCCATAGAAGGGTTCTTACTCGGCTCGGCCCCGCCTCGAGCCCGCCTCCCAGGCGCTCCTCGGCAGGTTTGCCAGGGTCCTGACCGGGCCACCACCGGCTCAGGCTCCGCCTCTCGCGCCGCAGATCTGCTGGGCTTGGCTCACTCTTGCTTCAGTCCCCGCCCCTGACACCGCCAGCCCACGAGTAGAGGTTGGAGTGCGAGCTGGACTTCCTAGACGCCTTCCGCTTCCCCATGTTCCGCCGTCGCCCGGCAGCTTCTCTCGCGGGCACCGTCCATCGGAGTTTGCACCCAGGACCTACTGTGTTCCCAGGAGAGTCGCTAACTTTTGGAGCGCAGGCCACTAATGATAACCCCCTGCACCCGCCGTCACTGTCCCGCAACAGCGCGAAGCTTGGAAGTTAGACGCCATAGGCCTGAGCACAGGGGTTTTCCCGAAGCGCGTTACCTGGCTTCTCGGTCTCTGAACACTATCTCTGCGCATGCGCGCCTAAGAGGGCAGGCCCCCATGGGGCCTGTGCTTTTCGCTGCTGCGCATGCGCCTGGTCAAACCGGAAGTACGTCCAGCTGTAGCCCCGTGGGTTGCGGCCTGGCCTTTTTTTAGGTTTCCTGAAGGAGTGGATTAAGAATTCACCGGTCCTTCCAGAACAGGGTATCAAAGCATAGGTGGCGCGGCCATAGACCTTTACCTGGCATCACTCCTTCCCCAACAGAGGCAAACACTCCCATGCCCACCCAAGGGATGAAGTCCAAAATTCTTTTTTTTCTGAGACAGTCTCACTCACTGTGTTGCCCCGGCTAGGGTGCGGTGGAGTCAGCCTAGCTCACAGCAACCTCAAACTCCTGGGCTCAAGCAATTTTCCTGCCTCAGCCTCCCGAGTAGCTGGGACTACAGGCATGCGCCACCATGCCCGGCTAATTTTTTCTACATATTTTTAGTTGGCCAATTAATTTCTATTTTTAGTAGAGACAGGTCTCGCTCTTGCTCAGGCTGGTCTGGAACTCCTGACCTTAGCGATCCTCCCGCCTCAGCCTTCCAGAGTGCTAGGATTACAGGCCTGAGCCACCACGGCCGGCCAAAGTCCAAAATTCTTAGCCCATACTTCTTGAGTCTTTCACAGCCTGATCCCATCAAATTTAACATCTTATTTCTTACTCCACTCAACTCCAAACGCTGGTTAGCCCCTCTACAAGACCCACCCTCTATTGATCTAAGACCTGGAACTAATGGGGCCCCTGGGAAGACTGTCCTGAAACTGCTCCATCCCCACATCCAATGGGCTCTCAATGCACTGGGACAGCCCCCCACACCCACCTGTTTTCATCCACCATACTGTAAGTAGGGGTTTCAAAGGGTCTTCTCAGACTGCAAGCTTCCAGGTGACAGTGTGCATGCATATTCATCCAACTATCACCGATGTTGGGCCTCTCGTGACCAGGAAAGTGTGTGCTCAGCGTTTGCCGAAAGAAGGCAAATCTCTAAGCAGCTTGGCAACAAATTTATTCAGAGTAGAAAGAGCAAGAGTCCAGGTACTTTGATTCTTCTATGAAAACTGTGCCTCCTGACTGGAGAACTGCCAGCCTGCCCTCCCCCACTCTTGAAACAACTCACCCTACTATTAAGGCACTTGAGAAAGGGGGGGGCAGGGAAGTCTCAGACCTAACCCCTCTGGATCCCAGAGAGAGCCAGCACTACCTCACCAGTTCCCTTCAGACACAGTTTGAGCAAAAAAAGCTGGCAGAGACTTCTGTAGGGCAGGAAGGCTAGCCCCTCAAATGCTGGTGTTAGGCACAAGGACAATGCTAGTGCCATAGTGGGGCTGGTAACAGGCATTATTTTGGATCAAGGTGTACTGAATCCATTATGTGAGCAAGACACTTGATAATAAGGCTTTGTGGCCACAAAGGCCATAGCTCCAGCCTGCTCCTCTCTCTAGGAGAGTACTAAAAGCCAGAGGATGGGGATGGAGGCCCCCAGAGTTTCTGTAGAGAGAAGGGAGCTGACCATCAGGATAGGGGAAGCAAGAGTTTGAATCCTCCCAGCTCCCCCCTTTCTAGAGAAATTAATGCTTCTGCTTAAGCACCTCCAAAAAGAGAGATATAGATACTGCCAACAGAAGAATAAAATGCAATCCCCCCCTAAGGAAGACAAAAACTTCTTTGGAAGATCAAAGAAATTGGGGGCAGCTGGAGCACCACCCCCCTCCAAGAATCTGTAAGTGTTTTGGGAGGACTTCAATCCCCTGCAGACCAGTACTCTGGGCAGGGCAGGCATCACTCCCTTAGGAGCTGATCTGACTCAGAAGGGCTGAGAAGTCCATGTCCACAATGGAGGAGAAGTCTTCATCCCCTGATAGGAGGCCGTTGGGGATCCCTGAGGCCCCCAGGGGGTTGGGAGCCGGGTCAGGGGGCCTCTGGGACCCTGTTACCAGGCGAGTTATAGACTCAGGATATTCCATCAGCATGGGCTCAGCTGTGTGTGGGGCCATAGAAACACCCTGGTTTAGCAGCTGCTGAAACTCAGAGTTGTCGACGGATGCCAGGTCCGTGAACACAGCTGGGTCTGTGCTGTTGCCAAGCAAGGCCCCCAGGTCTTCATCAGCATCAAACTGCAGCTGCAGCAGGGCCTCCGTCAGTGTTCCTTCCCCAGCCTGGGTGGGCTTGGGGGCAGGGGGGGCCACAGCCTGAAGAGGGCCTGGGGCTAGGACTTGAACAGGGGCTGGGGCCTGAGCCAGAGCTGAGGCCATGGCTGAGGTAGGGGCTGGGGTGTGGGACAGGACTTGGGTAGGGGCTGGTGCCAAGGCTGAGGCCTGGCTTGGGATCTGCCCAGAAGGAAATACCATGGGGGAAAACTCGTCAAAGTTGATGGTGCTGAGGGATGACGTGAAAGGATAGGGCTGTGGGGCTGGAGGAGAGAACAGAGAGGCAAGGGTCAGAACAAGCCCCAGAGACCCACCCCGTCCTCTGTACCCCAGCCCCTCTTCATAATACTTAGGACCAACCCCGCTCTGTGGAGTCCCTGCTGTCACCAGCTTAGCTCCTTCCTCTTACCCAGTTTATAGGGTTCACTTCTAGCCACACCTTCTCTTTTGAGCTCTCCCTGAGTACTCACACCCACAAAGCTCTCTTACCCATGACGTCTTAAATCTCTCCCAGCCTTTTAGGGGAAGGGACACTTTCAGAGATTAGCTGATCTCCTCATTTTCCAGCTGAAAAACCAAGCCTTCAGAGGTGATGAGCCCTCAGAGCATCAAGTTAGTAACAGCTTTAAGTGGGCACTTTGTCACTT